CTAACACATAAAAAAATGATTGCTAAAAGAACCCGAATGATTTAGGGCTACAATTACGAGTTTAATTACGGGAAAATCCTCCTTGAACTTAACAGTTTGTTAGCGAGTGAGTTATAATGAAAACAAACGTTATTTAAATCAAAGAGAAAGCTTTCGCCGAAACATTTTTATTTGTAATGGTAATTAAAAGGCTTCAGAGCAAATTTTGAAACATTTTTGATAAGTAACTGTCACGTTTTGACACCTGTCAATTGAAGAGGAAAAAGCATACGCTTTTGAATAAACAACAATACTGGTGTGACAAGGACATACGACTTAAATGATCACGCGACGATTTTCTCGTAAAAAGAAAAACACTCACAGATCTTACGGAAAGTATCATCACGCTGGTATGAATAGGATTTCAAGTGAAGTTTCCATATTTTGTCTGTGAACTGACTGAAAAAAGCTCACAACTTAAGGCGAGAGAGAACTCCGTGAACTACACTATTACATTCGCAGCGCGCTCGATAAAAGCTGTGAAATTTATACTTTCGATCGTTGTCTTCACGGGTGGTCTAGCCAAAAGTCAATTTTCGCTTGTGGTGAGGCAAATAAAGAGAATTGGAAAACAAACACACTATTTCTGAAACATGTGTCCTAAACCCTTTTGATAGGAAAAAATTTAAGGAAAATTTTTTCAGACTGGAAGTCAAGAGGACCGCTCTTAGCGGGAGTGGCACTTAACTGATTTATGCATAACAAACTCCCCAAATAAGGTTTTAAAAGATCGGGTGTCATCCACCTTTGTATAAGTGATCATTCTCTCGTATTTTCGACACGTAAGGCCTACTATGACCGTAATGATCTTCGTGCGATGGAGACGCAGCAACTCAAGCACTTTGTCAGTAACAAGTTCTTAAGGGATCTCAATCAAATGCCAGGGGGACCTATCGATTTGTATTCAGACCCAAATTACAAGTGGCGTAAATGGAAAAAATGTCTCTCACCAGCTGAGTCGACAAACATGCATCGCTCAATGAAAATAATCAGTAAAAACGATGTCCACACTGGATTACCGGTGACGTCCTATTCAAAACCAGAAGAAGAGATTTCCTTGAAAGATTAGACAACCTCTTCCAATGAATCATCCGCATGGGATCAATATAAGCGTGCTAGAAACCGGGCAAGTAACGCAATTAAGCTCGCAGAAACTCTGTTTCTGCCAACCTGGAGGCTAAAAAAGGAAATTTGCGAAAAAAATTGAACCTAATTAACAAGTTAACCTCCCATAACAGCCGCAGGACGTCCAATATCGGGGAAATCAAAGCTGATAACAAAGTAGTTAGTGATCACGTATACAAGCTTAGACACCTTAGAGGAAACTTTTAACGAACGCTTTACTAATATTGCGCACGTATTAGCAGAATATATTTCTGCTGTAAATGTAAACGCTGAGTTCTATCTGGTTATTAGCTACAAGTCCTATGCTTTTCCTAGCTAATTCACATTATTGATCTCCTCAATTGCTTTATGGCCGCTGCGACAAGGATATTTGCTGATGACAAAAACATTACACTATCGGCTAAGACGTTAAAGGGTCTCAAACAAACCTCAACCCCTGAAATAAGTAACTTAAGCTGCTGGCTTAAGTTTACGATCGCGCATCTTTGGACCTGGGTCGCGGAAGGTATCCCGGGAACCACGCTACAAGGCTGCAGTGAAAAACTTAAAGACACTTCTCCAAGACAGAAAATGCCATTGGAAATTTGTCTTTCCTTAGACATGAGGAACTTCCGTGACCTAATGAAGGCCATGTCATCGAATTACTCAAACTCGGACAGTAGCTATATGATGATAACTTCTATAATCTAGCTGAATATGATGCGGAGATGGAGGAATTCGTCTGTGCGCAGAAAGCGAAGCTTCGATGAAATGGAGTCAAGAGAACTCTGACTCAACTGAGAAAGAACTCTAGATGATTCTTACAAGCTCACCTCGAGAAGGGCGCATGCCCAAAAAGCCTAAGATACAACGTCAGGGCAAACATCACGATCGCTGAGGAGTTTAAATCAAATGTCTAGACTCACCGAGAAAGAGAGAAGAGCGTGATCTTTTTTCGAAGCGCTGGTGAAATTTTGCCACAGTTGACGCGTTGAGAGCCTTACAACAAAACTCAGGAAACTAGAGCAAGCAAAAACCAGAAAGATTAATGTAATAGAACTTTCAAAGAACATAGAATCAGTGACAACAGATTAAATCCATTTAAAAGCGAGTGATGTAAACAAATGTTAGCCACGGAATCGAAAAGTAAACTGAATGAGGTCAACAAGCTTCTTGTAAATTTGAGAGCACAAACTGAAGAAATTTAAAAGGTAAATCTTGTCGTATGCATTCTCTGCCTCCACAGAAACGAACAAGGGTGAAACATAACCCAAATAAAAATTAAAGTAGTTAAGAATGGCAAAGGAAAACAGAGACAAAGGTAGAAGGATAAAATATTGAGTCACGCAAGCAGCACATAGGAACCTGTCAAATGAACAACCTGATCACGAATAGTGCATTGTCAGCCATTTATCATGAAAATATCTGTATTAAAAGTCACAAGAAACCTCTCTCTTTGTGCCGTGCTCCTGTTGTGAATTTGATGCTGCAAGGTCTTTTTGCCGTCATTATCGAATGATTACTGTCATCGGGTTCTCAGTTACAATCCTTTTCTAGATAATTTGGCATTGATCACCACTTAGAGTTTGACAAAGATGAATAAGCCGCTGCAAATTTTTCCCCAGGGTCGTTTCTTCCCACATAAGCTAACATGAGACTCATAAATATGAGTTTCTTCTTGTCGATGCACATGACTACGCATATTTCTTAAGTGTTTGGTGCGTCAATCTTGTGAGCGTATCAATTGCGTGATACTATGTCCCAATGTAATGTGTGAACCAAGCTAAGGGTTTGATGAAAATTGTTTTCCTAAAGATTTGGGTGTAAAATTGAGCGTAGCACTTTAATGACAGATTTGTACCAAGAATGTCCGGTTTGCGCGCAGTAGAAGTGATAAAGAATATTTGAGTAATGTTAATCGGAGTAGTGTGGGAAGCAGCTGTTCAATGATGTTGTAAAGACAGTGGCCCTTCGTCTTCACTTGCCAACGAAATTCGACATGCGAAAGACCTTAATTTCGGAGGAGGCTAGGTTGTGAAGCGAGCAAGCTATTATTTGTTATCATTTAATTATGGTTGAATGTCAATTAGACAATATATTCTTGAATAATCTTCCTCTTTTGGAACAGGGTACTCCTAACTGTGTGGGATGCGGCAGGTTTTTTTGTTTTGCATGTGAGACAAATATTTTGCAACACTTCCTTCTACCGTTATTATGCAACTTTTAGTTCTTTTTACTGCTATAAATTTTATGCCTTACCAGTAGCCACACATAGTCTTCGACTGTCGATTTTTATCAGAGTTGCTGTCACGACTGCACCTATTGTTTCTGTAATTATTATATCCTCTCTATTCATGCTCATAGAATTCTTTATTCAAAACTCTTAGAATTTTTTATTTTTATTCTCACTGGTGAACAGAATGTTCGTGTCGGGAGATAAGTTGAAATACCTACGGCTAACAAAGTAAGATAGTGACCCCTGCGCCACCTAAGAGCTAAATCCTTGATTTTAATACCTAAGTAATGGTTAGTGATATTACTAACATTGGTAGAAGTACTTTATTTTGTTCTCAGTGCACTACAACATGTAAGTTCACCTCGATTGAAGTGCCTCCACCCGCTATGTTATTTGCAACGCACTGATATATGCCCCCATCTTCCTTCTTCACTTTTTCAAGAAACAGTTGGTGATGAGTGGTTTGGTCACGTCGAACTTGGCTGATTTTCGCCCTCGAACTGGACTGGACATCATATAAGTCGTTGTACTTGATCCACCTCATAGCGGACTGGGGATGTCCAGTGGGAAGACCCGTGGTAATACAACTCAAAGTTAAATCAGAACCGATAACAATGATTATGTTCCACCGATGTTTGGCATTTGGATTGGATTGCGTAGGATACGGATCATTGTCCTTCACGCGTGAGATATTTGGCTTGGAACGACCCCTGGCGGCGTAGGTAAAGTTTACCGTAAAATCGATAAAAGTGCTTTGGTTCTTTGAATCTTCCACACTTTGAACTGTCTGGGCGTCTGAGGAATGAAAATGACACAACTATTGTCGAGAATCCCCCTTTGCAAATAGACGAAAGAAAGGACGAAAAGCCTAGATTGGATAAATGAAAAAGGTGGAAACCTTTCCTCGCTTTTCGGATTTCCAGTGCAGTTAGGAAGGGACAAATCAGCAGTTGTTACTCATACGTGAAGGAGATACGGTCACACGCTGTGCATCTCCGTTGAATTTCCTATTCAAGTGCTATGCCTTCCTCTTTAGTTTTTAGTGATTTTAATCTTTCTTTTCCGCCAACTTACCACACTAATACTGGCTATTATTTCTATGATGTTGTAGGTAATTTTGTAAGGAGGAAAATCATTTTAACACGGAAATGTATTTTTGTAGATGGTTGAATGATTTACATGTCCTTATCCTTTATGACCTTCCTTTTTACGAGACAAAAGTAGAAAACTTTTGGGATAAATTATCAGCATACTTTGTAAAAATAAACTATTATGTTCAAAATAAGAGAACATTTCGAGATACAGTTTGATAATAAATATTAGAAAAATAAAACTAAAAAAAGTCTGTTTACGAGCTTAGTGGCCCATTAGGCCGGTGCTTAACTCCGGTTTCTGTAGCACGAAGCGACATTTATACACCTGGGTGGAGAGAGGCACTGTGAGAGAAGTGTCTTACCTAAGAACACAACACAATGCCCCGGCCGGGGCTCGAACCCGGACCACTCGATCCGGAGTCGAGCGCACTAACCATGAGGCCACCTCGCCTCCACAAAAAAAAATATAACTACGACATTTCGAAGTCATCTTGACTCCATTTTCAAGTAGGGGTGTTAGTTGTAGTTTCGAGATTAAATAGAAAAAAAGGCGATATAGTGCATTAGAATAAAACGTGTTTTGTTGTCATTGGTGTTTGACGTGTCAGTGCGTGCGGTATATGTTGAAATAAATACTTTTGCACGTATTGAGTCCGACTGCGTGTTTAACTGATAGCGGACTGGGGATGACCAGTGGGAAGACCCGTGGTAATACAACTCAAAGTTAAATAAGAACCGATAACAATAATTATGTTCCACCGATTTTTGGCATTTGGATTGGATTGCGTAGGATGACAAAAGTTAAAAAAATGCCGCTAACCTAAATCTTTAATGTATAAGAAGGCCACTTGTGATCTCCTTTTTCCAGCACTGTTGTTTGCCACGCAGTGGTATTTTCCATTATCTTCCATCTTACTTCTTGTTAATAACAGCTGACTGAAAACGGTTTTGTTGTCTAACGCAATAACCTTCTCCTCTACCTTTTTGTTGATTTGTAAAGCATATGGATCATCATTTTTCATCCAAGAGATGGTTGGTCTGGGATGACCGGTGGCAGTGCAATTCAACGTTATACTGGAATCGATAACAGCGCTTTGGTTCTTTGGATCTTCAACAATTTGAATGGTTTGGGCTTCTGAAGAACGAAAATGAAAAGCTATTTTTTTAGAGAAGGTATTTTAGTTTTATTTTGCGCGGTATTCCATGAATATGTCGATTAAAAGATTTTGACTTTAAGATGACCAATAATAGTAAAAAAAGGACAGCTTGTTATAGAAAAAAAAAATTAAATTAAAGGCGGTCTGCGACTGCATGCGCCTACTGTTGTATAGTTGTCGAGTATTGCAGTAAAACAGCAACGTGGTGTTAAATGCAGATGGGTTATTACCAGCTCTTGACGGTGCTGTAATTGTGACGAAAGGATCTGGTTGAGACAAGGTTTGTACTCTGGCCGATTAACAGGCTGAGAACAGGGTAGGAGCTCAATAAAATAGACACATGTAATAAAGGTGCATTAGAATTTATAATTATAATTTAATTTGTTCGCCACGGGAATGGCAGGAGAGAGGAAGAGAACTTTTGTCCCAATTGACACCTAACCCCTTTGTACCCACCATCCCACCCCGGGGAGGACATCCACCACACAGTAATCTCGTGCATGGGAAATTAACGTCTCCTATCCCTAACCCTAACCTTAGCTTAGCTACCCGCAGGCATGTTACTGTACTTTTATCCCAAAACACAATAAAATAAATTGTATGTATGTATGTATGGATGCATGCATGCATGAATGTATGTATGTATGTACCCTGCAGGAGACGGGACCTACGGTTTTATTCGTCCCTATCCGAGAAGACTAGAATTCCAATCCATTTCTTGATATTATAAAAAGGTAGCAAATTCTCCTCAGTTATTCAGAGACCACGAGTATTGGTCTGGGCGGGGCTCGAACCGTCGAGCTCCTGCACAACACAGTCCGGCGCTCTATCCAATTCAGCTAACCAGGTGCATTGAATGTATATGTATTTTCTACTGACTTTTTCCGAGTCCGAAGGTACAACGTTCTCATCCTGGCCGGGTCGAAACTTTTTTCTTGTTTTTATTTTTCTCTTCTTTTCTTTCTCTTTTTTCCTTCCATTATTTATATACTTCTTCAAATAATGTGTCAGAAATGTTCAGAGTAAAATGCTCATCTGAGACCGTTTGATGATGCAGCGTTTACGTTGAAATCGATAACGAGTCGAAATGCAAAGGTGAGAACCTGAACAACCGTCGAACTGAACCCGACATAAGCATACATGAATCCGAAGAAACTCGATCAGATTCGTTCAACGATGGCCGGAGTCGGAGCTGAACCAGCTGGCCTTCTTAGAAGAAAGGCATAGTAGACACAAAAATGGAATGCTGAGAGACTTCTTTTTCTCCGTCTCTTTTTCATCAGAGGAGTCATCACTAGAGTATATTTTCATATTACTTTCCTGTTTTGTTGCTTACCTTGCGGACGAATTTGAACTGATTTTCTTCTGCAGTGTGCACGATAACCATTTCCTGCTTCACACGTGTAGCTACCGAGTTGCTCTGCCGTCAGTTTTTTGAGCATCAATAGACATCTACGTTTCAACACCATCCGTCTACCCTGAACACATCTATGTCCAACTGGCTTGCCCTTTGGATCGTACCACTGAATATACTCGGTCCATCTATCATAATATCCAGCATCAATTCTCCTGGGCTGCGCCAAACAAGTCAGGTTGACCGCTGTACCTATAGCTAGTTTCTTCGTTGGTGGACTTGTGGAAATTTCTACATCAGGTATTACTAGAGGTGGGAAGAAGATAAAATCATTCAGACATCCCATGGCATGAGAAGAATTGTCAGCCGTCATTCTGAACTACAAAAGATGAAATACCGACTTACTAGTCAGTTTAGAGTTGCAGTTCATGGCCGCGGCTTGAGGGAGATTCAGCTGACCACTTATGACTATAAAGACCACCAGAAAAGCTTCATCCAGCCAAGAATTGAGTCCCATTGTAACACGTGAAGTAACTGCGAGTCTTGCTTAAATGGCCTGAAAGGAACATTGTCCGCAAAATATTGGAAACGTGCTATCATGATTCTTAAATAGTGACTATATCATTTTCTCTTATCTTTATAACCAGGAGTTTGGGCTTGTTATGGACCCGAAATTATTTCACTCCAGTTTTTTCAACGAAAGTAGGCGTGGAAAAAAAAACTGATTACAAAGTTTGGGAAACTCAATAAGGGTGAAGTCATTGTAATTTTGCCGAAAAAAACAATAAAAAGAACGGCATTAAGTGAAGTTGATTCCACTGACATGATTTTGGTGAGCTAAGTTGAATATTGTGAGTTGATTACATTCACTTGCTGTAATACCTTTTTGCTTTAAGAGTGTTATGCAGGTACATTGCATATGTTTTTCATATCTTTTCGTTCTATTTTCGATTGAGCGTTTTCTCATCCGCTAGTTTTGGCCTCTCGGCAGCAATTTCCTAAAAGCGCAAGCTTAAATTAGCAATTGTTTTAATGCGGACTGCTTAAGGCTATCTCCGATGTCATCTTTACATTATGGCTTTTAATAAATAAGCTGTCAACAACCTCTAAGTTCAGGGAACACAGACAAATTTGAACGCTAGTTGTGCATGCCAGTGATTGAATTTAACCTTTAAAGCGGCAGAGAAGTTCTATACTTTTGGTGCTTCTAGCTTAGTGTGGATAGTTAAGATCGTTCTCCAAAAACCTCAACAGAATTCAATAAAAAATCTAGTCAAAACAGGGAAATAAATCTAGAGCTCCGATAATTAGTACAGAATGCAT